ATGGTCTTAAGCTCGTTACGCGCGTTCAGTTTTTACTAAACAGTTCGATTGTTCAGTCAAAACTGAACGTGTAGGCAAAACTGAGAACTGTACAGTTTAATTAGCAATTAAAATGTTCTCTACGTTCGTATATTAATTGTACAGTGTTACTGTTCAGTAAAAACTGTACAATTGAAACGGAAGGTGTGTTTTAATTTTGCTTTCAATCAAAAGCTATTAATGAATTAGCCGTAACGGTAATTGTTAGGGCATCCTTCTTTTATATAAAATTCTCGTGTCACAATTTTCGTTCCCATACTCCTGCGAAACGGTTTGACCGATTCTCATGAAATTTTGTTAGCATATTGAGTAGGTCTGAGAATCGGCCAACATCTTTTTTTCATCCCCCTAAATGTTAAAGGTAGTCCACCCCAAAATTTTATTTTTTATTTTTTAGACAAACACGCGGACGGAGTCGCGGGCGCCAGCTAGTTTTAGTTAAAAATACATGTGACAGGATGCTTACTAATATTATAAATACGACTGTTTAGATGGATTAATTTTTGTTTGAAGGTATCTCCGGAACGGCTGAACGGATCTCGCTGAAATTTGGCATAGATGTAGAACATAGTCTGGAAGAACACATAGACTACTAATTAAGTTTTTTTTTAATACTACGGGGAATCAGTTGCGACATCTAGTCTTTAATAACTATTGTTAATCATTCCTTGTAGTTAAGATAGATTTTATTTTTATTATTTTTTATTATTATTACAAAAGTAGGATATAATTTTCTAAACAAGTTATATTTTAACTATAATAGCTGTGCATAAATTGTCAAATTAACGACAATTAGGGTCCCGCAGGAGCGACGCGCCGGGACCTATATTTATGCAATTATATAGATTCGTCACGTGCAGTTGCTAAAGGGTTCGATGTCAAAATAACGCTAAATATTAATAAATTTCCCTTTTTGCTTTCACAAGTAATCAGATCCAGTTTCACATGGATGGTTTTTATTTTGTAATATAATATAAATTATTTTATTAAATATCAATTTGAAAAAAATCAATCATTTGCAGGCAAATCTAAAAGTATTATACAAAATATTGACGATTGGAAAATATGTTTTTTATATAATGAATGAATACAGTTGCTTTATTGACTTACTTGTAATTTTTGCAGACGTCAAAATTCAAGAGACAGGCACTCAGCTCCTGACCACTATAGTATTTTTTTTTTATAACAGAAGGGGGCTAACAAGCAGCGGGAACACCGAGGTGTTCAACGACGCCCATGGACAACAGCAATACCAGAGGAACCGCAGATGCGTTGCCGGCCTTTGAGGTGGTGATAATATAATTTATTTTTTGATTGATCTTCTCAATTAATATTTCGTTTTATCTACTACTAGCATACATGCGCTAAGTACGTAGTTGTTATTCTAGAGTTCTTTGTAGATATTTCCTTGGTCCTACAACTATTATTTGTCTTTATAATATAAATCAAAAGAATCACTAAAAAGCTTTGAAGTCGAAATATGAAATACTTATAAATACTTTTAATTATGTATTATTTAATATCTAAATGAGTGCTATAGTTAAAAAGCTTCAGATTAAAAAAATTATATTAGGCAATAATTTAAAACTGTTTAACGACTGTATGCGGTCGACAGTTGACACATATTTTGGCGCGCACTGCTCGCACGTGACGCCATCTTTTGTTCAATTCGTTTCGCTTTCCATTCATTTATTTGTTACGCCGATTTTGTTTTGTCATAATTATATTTATTATAACATTTTGTTTAGGGCTAGATCTTTGTTGCAGTAATAGCCGATTTTATGCTTTGGTTTAAATTTATTCAAATGTGACACGGTCGCTTAAAGCAATATTTTTTAAAACGGATTTAATAAAAGTTTTGTGGCAAAAAAAATCATAAAAAAGTGAGATTTTGTTATTTCAAAATGTTTTTTTTAAATATAGTAGTGTCGCCATCTATCGTCCAGTAGAAAAAATAATTGAAAAAATATCGACATCTATTGTTGAAAAGCATAAAGTAATCTAATTATCTTGGAGTAAAAATTTCTTATAATAATCCGTCGTGGTCTTAAGTAATAATTTGATTATTTCAAACTTGTCATAATTTGTGAAATATAATCAAAAAATTGTGTTTTAACGTATCGATAAATGAGATACAAAACATTGGTTTTATGATTTTCTTAAAAGATGGCGTTGAGGAAACAATAAAGTCCCAATATTAAAATGTGTATTTTCAATAAAAAAAATCTAGGTCATCTAGAAATAAATTGAAATTATTGTGCCATAGTCCAATTCTAAAGTAATAACTAGACGTAAAGTAGTATGTCCGATTAAAAAAATAAAAAAGGGATAAAAAATAAACACCAAAAGTATCGAAACAAGCATTTATTAATTCAATATTCATATAATAGCTAATATACAAAACATTATATTCACATGTCTACTACAACGCTCACTTTGGTCAAATCTGCATCAACAAAAAAGAGAAACCAAAAGAAAAAAAACTTAAAATTTCTTTATCAATTACAATTTACATTGAGAAATGTTAATTTTAATACATTTTTGATTCTTAACACACCGAAATACTAAAAACTAAATACAATAATGATTTTAATTATGATTTTTATACTATTCCAATATATATAGTCGACGAAATCGACTAAAATCAGAATAACTCAAATGAATGCAATTAACAGATCACAAATTTTTCCATACTAATAGTTCATTATTCTTTAGTTCTAAGTAATATTTTATCAAATGTTTTTTTTTTATAATTTACGTTAAAATAAAAACCAAAAATTTAGACTTTACTTTTCCTTTACAGTAATTTTTCACTGCTTAAATCGGTTAAATCACTAAGTAAGACCCTTAGTGGGGCAGATAATTCAATAGCACTTTTATATTATAAAATTCTACATTTTAAATTGTTAGAAATGGAATATTTCGAACTGCCAAAAGATTTCCATTGAATAATTTCTAGAAATTTCGATTCGACTTGACCGTTGTTAATTTGACAAGCATTTATATATAAATGTAATACAAAATACAATAGAAAATGAATTATTTAAGACTGAGATCCATATCCCTTATAAAAAATTTCGTCAACCCACCTTGTAGGTCGATCTTTTTACAAACTATAATGTACTTAAAAAATTAATTTATAATGCCACGAGTATTTGTGTAAAGATGCCAATAGATAACTAACTTACCGTGGGTTTTTGACATCAAAATAAAACATATTGTTATCTCTATTTCGTCAATGATGAAATCAAGGGATGACGATATATTTTATACAGAATATTTAGTCTCGGAAACCCACTTTCACCGATTAATCGTCTCCAGTAAGACCAGGATAAGAGAGAGTCTAAGGGACCGAGATATTTTTCTAGCTTATAGAGGTTTCCCTCTAACCAGTTTCTCGCTTATGGAGGTCATCCGTCGGGACCGGACAATGACTCGCTTATAGTTTCTCACTTATCCTGGTTCGACTGTATTATAACATATTGTCATCTATGAAATTCTTTTTGATAAAACAGATTAAAATATGTATTAGAACAAGTTACACGGCGATCGAAACTCATTGTTAAGGATATTCATCGTACCTCACACTTTCACGTTTCCAACTTTAAATACAAATTTTCGTGACAAATATCAAACTAAAAATTAACCTTAAAAAAATTAACTTAAAAATGTAATTATGTATAATAACATTAAATATTTTAACAAATAAAAATGATTAATTAGGGTGGGTTAAATCGGAGTACAAGGCACGGTTAAAAACTTACAAAATACTTTAATAAAAATGCTCGTTTATATTATGTTAGGAGACAAGAAAAAAACTATTTTAAATCATACAAAGATAATGAACAGGAACGTTAAAAATTAGCAATAATTTGAGAGATGACACAAAAAATCACGTGACTATTTTAGATTTTTTTTTAATTCACATCCCTACGTCAAAGATATAGTGCGACAAACTTATTCGGTCCACTAAGAGGTACTGGTCGCGAGTCTGTCGGAAAATATGCAAACACACAGGCATAGACAATGACAAGACAAGACAGGATTTTGTGACAGAGGGCGCTAATAAGTTTCATTTTAATTTAATTTATGGCCACAAGGTCACATAAGTATGTCGCACTATACCATAGATTAATTAGATGCAGACAACATTTTACTTGTTAAAAAAATTCAAATATATATAAACGTTAAAAGACAATTAATGCTTTAAATAACGTATTAAGATTGAAATATAAAAACTTACATACATTTTAACACAAATGAAGGCTAGGATATGTTTTTTTGAACACAAACTTAAATTTCCAATAATTTGATCAGAAAAACATTTAAAAAAAACCGGTTTATGTATTTCTTTAGTATTAAACAAATTATATTTATTAAAAAACTTGGCTTTATATATAATATTACATTTAAATCTATACATAGATTATAAATACTTTCTTATAATAGCTGCATAGAACCAGATTAGGAGTTGTATATATTTTTATCATAAAGTTTATTTATATTTAAATGATCCACTTAATGTCTCTGAGTGTGATACATTTAATATAAATATACTACGACAAAAAAATATACATAAACTTAATTATAACTTAAAATTAACTCATTCAAACAAATATCACAAAGGCTAAATGGAAGAATCATACAAATACATATAAATTCGATTATTATTAGTAAAAGAAAGCACATACAATCACATATATATATATTTTTTATATTTTAAAGGCACTTATTTATGTCATTTATACTTAAGTCATTAAAAAAGAAAGTAAATTCGCAAAAGGTTTTTTTTATGGTCATTTATTGTCTTAATCTGTCATGTCACCGGTTAACTGTCAACTTAGTCATTTTGTAATCCGTCTAGAAATATTATAAACTCGACATATTTAGAATTATACGAATTATTGATAATTTTACGAATACTAATAATTTATAAAGTATTAATTTCAGTTGTTTTTTTTTAATAGATTAATTAAATTTGCTCTAAATATCATTTATATAGACAGATTACAAAGTAACCATGTTCACAATCATTCACAAATAGTGACTTCACTTAGTCTTGTTAGTTAATTTCACAATTATTTTGTGCGCTGTACTAGTCAGTATGACGTCACAGGACTGAGGGTTCAAGTTACTGGGTACTAGTTCTATTTGACTTCATACAGAAAAAATTGAGTGGTCACATTTGATAATTTCAATGAAAGTTTACTCTCTGTCTACCCTTTTTAGTTACAAGTCACAATTGTGCTTCAAACTGATTGTTATCAAACCCAACATTAAAGCTCTTTGACTATAGAACATGCTAGTCTAAGAGCCAGCATATTAAATTCTGATATTCGCGGGAGATAAAGAAATATAGAAAATTTAGACACAAAACAAATTGAGAACTCATTGTTCCTTTTATTCTATATAAAGGAATGTGTGCTTTTGACAGGTCCTGTCATTAAATAATCAAAGTTCATGTTAAATTAAACCATTTTAATTATCGTAAGTTCAGTAGTAGTTATATGTTAATTATTATTGTTCATTTTTGTAGGGAGTCAGTTTTGTTTAAGAAGTTATTTTATGTATATCATAGTATATTAGGACCACCTCGTCAATAAAAATACACGTAAATTGGTCCAGCAATGTCACGGATATATCTGTTTTCAATATATATATTTATTTATATAAATATTTTGTATTTTTGTATATTTAATGTGAATACTTGACCTGCTCCGTGTTTCGATTTTCAGAAACTCGATTTTGTTATTTTAATTCTCTTGAATATGTTGAACATCAGTTTTCTATATGAAAATAATAAACAAAATTATAAAAAAATGTGTTTTTTTTTAATTTCGTTATATTTCGAACAAACTATTAGTATGTAATTACATTTCTATATTAGAATGAAGTGTTTTTTTTAATTCGCGTCTATAAATACTAACCGTTATGTTCATTTTATATAGTATACCATAACTTTATAAAAATATAACACTATAAAATTATTTTTTAACTTTTTTTTTTGCTTTTCTTCAAAAAAGAAATCTTGACATAATAAAAGTTAATACGTTATGAAGGGTAGACAGAGATATCCACTTGTCATCAAAGACATAAATGTGAAAAAAGTCTATTTTATAGCCATACACCAAACTTAACATAAAAATTAACGTAAGAATTACTATTACTATTAGCATTGTAAATTATTAAAAAAAAAGTGGTATAAAATTATTTTACTTTTCCATTCCTGATATGATCTTACATAAACTCTATCTATATTGTCAAAGAAAATAGTGAAAAGACATATTTTTGGAACATCGATGAACTATGTTAGTCACAATAAGATTTACTTCGGAAAATGTACAAAAATAGATATGTAATATTAAATTATTTATTTCTCCAAAAATAGTAAGGCATACATAGAATCCTGGTATTAGTTTGGAATATAATTAATAAATAATATATTTAGTAACAGTCAGGTTTAAATCCTCTTACCCCGTTTGTCTGTCCGTCTGTCTATCCTGATGGGAGATGTAACAGATTTGATAATTTCAACAATTTGCGAGTCAAAGCGCGGCGAGTGCAGACGTTTCGCGGACCTCGTTCTGAACTTTGCTGATTCTTGATTCGTTACAACTGGTGTTAATGATTTTATACATCTGAAATTAAAACATTTTATAAATATATTTTGATGAATCTTCTATAAAGTAACAATAACACATAAAAATTGTTGTATTAATTACATTATTTAAAAGTCAAAAACAGTTGAACATGTTTGGCTGAAAATTGACTAACTCACCGCTGGTTTCTGAGACCAAAATATCTGTATGAAACATCTCACCATCCCTGTCATTATCTTGGACTAAACAGAGGTAACAGTATGATTTGAATGAAGATTTTGGTCTCAGAAACCCACGATCACGAAGATTAAGCATGTTCTATCCATTATGACGTCCTATAGCCTAATCTAAAGAATCTATTTTGTCGAGTTTATTTCTAAGTATAGTTCTTTTCAAATATTTTAGCGGTCCAAAGTAAACTTCACACTAGAAACTGCGGGTCACGCGATGTGCCGAGCTGCCCAGATATCAGAATACAAGTATACAAAGATTTATTGATATAAAACATTACCTGGCGGCCTCCTGCAGCCTGCGCGTGAGCAGGTCGTTCTTTTGCCTTGCGGCGGCGAGCTCGCGACGCAGCTGCGCCTTGCTCTTGTTGCCGGCGGGATGCAGCAGCGCGTGTCGCCGCAGTCGCGCTGCTGACGGCCGCAACATCGGCTCCGGGTCCACCATTTTCTGATACGTTACATGTTTTTGTCAAATTCTACTATATAATACTGTTTTTGATTGATCTTTCCTAGCTAGAATCTTCCAGTCTTCAAAATCCAGAAGTTATGTAACATTTTAACTTTTCCATACTAGCTTAGCTTAACGTAATGAATAATTACGGGTCTATACCAGTGGTTCCCAAACTTATTTTGTCTACTGCCCACTTTGAGAATAAACATTTTTAGCGCCCCCATATTTTCACATATTAAAATATATAAAAAACCACTATAACTTCAAATTAAATTAATTAATTATTGTGACCTATATATGTATATTAACGGAGAATTCTAAAGGAAACTTTTACTATAACCCGCAACTTGACACCTGCAGCGCCCACAAGGGGGCGTTATCGCCCACTTTGGGAAAGACTGGTCTAAATGAACAAAGAAATACAAACTTTTAACAGTTCATTAAACTCCTTGGAGAGATTGGGCAGATGAGGCAGCTTGCCGTCCCTGTAGTCATGCCACTGCTGGCCGTTCTTAGGCAGCGGCCCGCCGCCCCCGGCCTCGAATAGTGTCAGACCTACAATATTACATACATATATAATACATACAAACACGGATAAGCTAGAAACATTTACAATATAGAATATCCGGTCAACACGGACGACCTACATAAGCGAATTCTGTTAAAAATATCACGGTCCCTTTAGTCTATGTATTAAAAAAAATTGTTAGCAATTTGTTTCATTTATTAACTAGTTGTCGCCCGCGACTCCGTTTGAGCGAAATTTAAAAAAAAAACATAAGTAGCCTATGTATTCTTCTATGTTCTATATGTATGACAAATTTCATCGATATACATTGAGCCGTTCTGAATTTACCTTCAAACAAACATCCATCCATCTAAACATTCGAATTTATAATATTAGTAAGACTTTACAGCTCCAATTCGATAATATAAAGCAAATTATTCTAGATCTAGCACAAAAACATTAAAAATAGATTTATAAATACTAAGAGTAACCTAACAAAGTGTACTGATTATACTAAAGTTATAAATTCTCTGCAATAGTTACCAAACGCAAAGATGTCAGCTTTGGTGAGATGTGTGAAGTCCTCCTGCAGCACCTCCTTGGGCAGGTAGCGGCAGTCACCCTCTTCCACCAGCGGCGAGGACACGCACGTCACATGACCCAGGTCACCTATACAACAGCATAGCATATAATTATTTATATCTACAATATGTTGCACAAACTAGCTTTTGCCTAAAACGTCATCCGCGAAATATTAAAAAAAAAACAATAAAAAGTATGTTTGTCTCCTGATTCTTTGTTACCGACAATTTTCAGCCAAATCAGTTTAGCCGTTTAAAACTTAATAATAAGCCTATGTGTTTATATGTGCCAAATTTCATCGAGATCCATTGAACCATTTTGGAGATACCTTCTAACAACCATCCATCCATACATTCAAACATTCGCATTTATAATATTAGATATAACTAACCAAGTTTATATATATGCTGTGGATGCTGCGGCGTGTCGTCATCATCGTAACCATCATCAGAGTCCGGTGCTGTGAACTGCTCGGCGCGACACACGAAGATGTTCCCCGGCTTCACGTCCATGTGCACCAGCTGACGCGAGTGGATGTATCTGCATACATACACATACATAAATATATACATATTAAACATAACATTTTAGTGTAAGAAAAAAAACATGTAATTATCTTGAAAAATATATGCAAGTATGAAAACATCGTGAGCAACCAGCACTTATCTGCAAAGAAATTCAAAGATATTTGTGAAGCCAAACCGCACTGACCCGGCATGGTTGACTATTGCCTAGTCACCCATAGTTTGCTTAGACTTTAGCCTCTCAGCGATGTTATGAGCTGATGACCTAACTACAAAACCAGACTTTACCAGTCATTTGGATATAACTACTACTAAGCATATTAAATATGCAGTTCAGCACACTAACTCCTGTCCGATAAGGGCAAAAACCCCAAAAATCCAAAAAAAAGTATACTAACGCCAATCCCTCAGCAATATGTGCAAGTAGAAGCAGCAGTTCGGGCTCCGGCAGTGGACCTGCTTCCATCATCTGCTGCAGAGACCCACCGTCGCAGTACTCGTTCTGGATTATCATGTGCCCGTCCTCCGCCCACGCTGAGTAATATCTATTGGCACAATACACAAATTATTAAACAAAACATCAATAATAATATGTAAATTAAAAAAAACTGACATAAATGACACTTCACTCGTAAACTAGCTGTCACCCGCAACTCCGTCTGCGCGACATTAAATAACTTAGTAAATAGCCTATGTTCTTCTAGACTAAGTACTACATTTGTGCTTATTACTTCATAAAGATCTGTTAAGCCGATATGGAGATACTTTCAAACAAACATCCATGCATCCATATAAACATTTGCATTTATAATAAGATGCAATTCCGTTTTTTTCATACGACATCTATAAACTCTTCATCCATATTTTTAGTCATTATTTAATTGCACATTAATATATTTACTATGTTAAATTTCAGTAGTTTATTTATGGTAATATTATTCATGATATGTTACCTCACAACATGGGGATGCATCCCAAGTACTGCATGTGCATACACCTCGGTGAGAGCATTCCGTTCAGCAGCGGAGCCCGCTACGGGGCGCAGCGAGCGCTTTAGTGCGTACACACAGCCATCAAGCTTGTTAACGCAACGGCTCACTTCACCGAACGAGCCACGACCTATCACCTCTTGTTCCACAAACTCAACACTGTAGCGAGGGATGTTTGAATCCTGTAACAAACATATTTATTAGTGACTGGTTGTCCACGCAGTATTAAAAAAAAGTGAATAAGTAGCCTATGTGCTCTTCCAGACTGTTCTAAATCTATGTCAAATTTCAGCGAGGTTCATGCAACAGTTCTGGAGATACCTTCTAACAAACATAAATCCATCCAAGCATACTTTATAAATGTATTAAATAGAAAATGTTACGATACATACTCTCATTCTCTTCGCCGGCGGCAGTTCAGGCGACTGTCCCCATGTTGGTGTTTTAGACTGGCCTCGGTTATTCTGGTTCATTGCTTGACCTGTGTAAAACAATCAATATTTTGGTAAAAAAGAATCACATTTTGTTTATTATAACATAAACTTAGTAGTAAAAATATATAAAGATAAAAAAGGCTCTGACCGAAAATGTCAGGGGTGAAGGCGAGGGCGGCTAAAGCCGCTCTCATTAAAAAAAAAAATTATTAAAGCATATATATAGGGCTTTGTAAATACAAGATCACCATTAATATCTACTGTAATTTAGAATATTAAAGCATGAATACTGGCAGACATCTTGGTACAACATAGGCACATCTAATTTTCTATGTAGATTTATGTAAACATGCTCAAGGTTTTTTTAATAGAAGGTGGCAAGTGGCCAATAAATTAACAAAACCACTACCTAAAGACATCTATAATGACTAATTTTGTCTCTAGCACTAACCTTCAGGTGTAAATGGGTTGATATTAACAATTGGTCTCCTGACTCTAGAGTCATCCAGGTCTTCAGGGAGTAGGCTTCCGAGCGCGCTGTCGTCGTCTCCAGACGGCGGGTGCAGGTGGTGACTGGAACCTGATGGTACACCTGCAATTTTCACATCATCATACCACATTGTGAAGATTTACATCTCTTAAGATATTCTACCACAAGAAGAGACAAAGGAAAATATGGAGAACTGATCCCCAACTTTTGCTCGTCGGAGAAGCACCTCAAGAAGTAGAAGAAGAATATATTCTAAGAGTAATTTGTCAGATGGGACAATGGAAAGACAAAGATTTAAATATTTGTAGATAGAATTAAGACATATCATACCTGTAGGGACACATAGTTTCGGTGGGAATAGCTTAGATCTCAGTGGACGGTGGGTTGGTGTTGAACACTTTTCCAGCAAAGCCTTTGGTGTGTGGGGTGTGTCAAATAATCTGCAAACAAATACATGTTATATTTTAAAATAATGAAAAAAATTAAACCATTCTATCATTAAAAAAATTAAATTAGAAATATAATGACAGAATAAATTCAAAATCACATGTAACTTCTAATTTTGGATACAGGATAAAAAAATGTGATACTAAAGATTCTTTTTGTCCATTCAAACTCACCCTAAGGGTGATAAAACTCACACAAGCACAAGTTGTATTCATACAACACCTGAAGCATTCTTTAGAAAAAACCTTAAAGGAATTCTACACAATAGAGTATACACCTTAAGTTTATCCCAAAAAGTTCTTATTCCTTTAACCTAAAATACCTGCTCACAACAAAACATTTTTTTTTCTAAGATATAAAATTAACCTTACTTATGCAATAAAGATTTCCAAAACGATTTCATAATTCACTACTCAATAAAAGACTCTATTTCAAATGCTAAAAGTATCAAAATTGCTTGATAAGTGAAAGTATGCTTTTACATGTTAAAATGCAAGGAAAACCGAGCTTTAACGTGTTCTACGTGAGTTGAATTCCGAATATTTCGTTACATCAAGGTGTTTGTTGTAAGATGTTTTTATCGTGAGTGTGGGCGTATTTTTTTCGCCTAGCAGATGTCAGCTGTTCAATCATATGTTTGTTCTTTAGTGTGGAATAACTGTATTTCAACTGATTTTAACTGAATTTCTCATACTGCATGTGCTAAGAAAAAAAATCTGAACTATTGTGTGTATGTTGTTATAAATTTTGCCATATTATCAAGGAAAGCTAATTATACTATAATTTTTTAATCTTAAAACCTCAATACATGGACAAAATTTGTAATCAATGCATTTAGGTGTTAAGGTGGATAAATAATAGTGTTTTCTAGAGCAGTTGTATGTAATGTAACCTTCTTACGAATGATATATAATACAAGCTGTCACCCACGACTCCATCCGCACAGAATTAAAGAAAACTTAATTAGTAGTGTAAGTGTTCTTCTACATCTGTGCAAAATTCCAGCAAGATCCATACAGCTGTTGTGGAGATACATTCAAACATCCATCTATCCATAAAACTTTTGCATTTATAATAAGATAGGTAAAAGTAGTTTCCAAAACTAGGACAAGTTGCTCTAGTCTATTCTCACCTTTATTAAAGTTAACTTATAATTATTAAATGTAAATAATTAAGTGACAATCGAACTTAATATTATGTGTATACTCAATGCAAATATATACAAACTAGTTTAAAAATATAACTTATAGAAAGTTACCTTTGCTAATTTGAATTCCGTAATCCGCCTATCATAAAGGTCATAGGTGTTAGAAAGTGTTGCAAAAAAACAAGTCAAACAACATACAACAAGGTCAACAATACTTGCTCAACAAGTTGTTACAAGCAGATTTCCTTGTCAAAACATGTTGTTTGTTTTTAGGACAGGTTGTAACATGTATTTTTTGGAGTTATAGGATGAAGATACTAATTTCAGTATATTTTTAAAAATTGTTAAGACATATATACCAATATGTTTATTAATTAATATAGTTTTCTGTATATTTATTACTATTTCCGGTATATAATATTATTAGATAATAGAATATTATGATTTCGTAATAGTTTCCATGAACTTTTTTCAGAGAGATTAGATTATTTTTTTTCTTAATAACAAATGAAATCACCAATATTAATGTTTATTAACTCCTAAACGTATCTTGTTTGCTCATTGTCTTAATTAAATCCATAATTGATATAGGATAGACTCTATCCCGTATCTATCTTTTATTATCTCTTACGTAAACTCTTAAGGATGTGTACATAGTGTGAATCTTTAGTGTCAAATAAATTACTAATAAGGAAAGCAAAATTTCACCTTAAAATACTTTAAAGCTTACTTTCTTATACAATTAAATTGTTTCAGTCCTGGACAGGGCTAAGTTTGTACTTGATTTATAAAAGAAAATAAAATATTGAAGTATTTAAAATGGAGGTTAGATATACAGTTCTATCTTTCTAAAAGACTAGGTTTTATAAAAAGAAACAAAGTAATGATGCATGAATACATTAATTCTGTAGTAGGTCCTCAAGGGAAAAAAGATAAAATCTTACAAACATGACAACTAAATGTCTGTAAGTGTGTCAATGGGCATATAAGCGAGTGCATATATTGAATACAATATGATCTATAAATTTTGGAATGGCATGAACAAAAGGGATTATGCTCAATCAAAATGATGTTTTCATATTAATCTGACACAAAGTACGGTATAAAGTATATGAAAGTCTCACAGAAACAAATAGCGAAAGTTAACAGTAGCCATTAAAACTTTTAAAACCATTTGGACAAGATCTAAAGATAACTTAACACCTGCTAACAAAAACAAAACAACAACACATAAAAAGTGTAGCGTTAAAAGTTAAGATTTTTTGGTTTCTGAATGGTGATTTCTTTTACATAATCGTGGTATTTTATACAGGGATGGAAGACAACGAGGTGACGCAAACTTACCTCAAAGCTCTAACCCTTCTATAAGGCAGGTTGGGTGATTCCGGAGCAGACGGTTCATCTCGTATAACATCATCATCCAAGTTAAAATCCAATCTCCTGGGCACTTTAGATGCCGGTATTGGACTCAAATTTTCAGAAAATGAGTTATATGAATCCGACATTTCACAAGATGTTTCCACTGATAACTCCGAAGAATTATGGTTGTTGTTATAACCCGTCTTCATTCTGTACCACTCACTCATTGTTATTTACACATATAATTCACTTACAATATCAAATAATTAAAATCTTTAGTTTATTTCTTAAAAGCAAACAATGCGCACTTTCACAAATTCCAACGATATGGCGGATGACGCATAGCACCTGGTTAATGGCGTGGCCAATCACAGTTAAGTATTTAGCCGGTAACATGAATACGTCAATTCTATTGGCTGCAGTTATTTTTTTAAATAACGATGTCAAGTGATGAATTGTAATTGGTGGAATATGGATGCGTTCACGTTTTTAGTTTTTTCTTAAATTCTGTAGGTTAAACTATTTTCATTGCAAAAATAATAAAAACAGGTATCGATTAGGCAATCCTTCAGCTGGCATATTTTTATTTTTTTTGCTTCATTGTTAAGAAACATCTTGAATTTATTATTAGTAGGAAAAACTGCCCCATTTATATTCCGAGAAGCTGAACAATAACTGAAACAAAGAAAAATATAACCTAGAACACAAATAGGATTAATTTAATCCTTTTAAATCAAAACATAACATGTGATTTTACTGTTTAGTTATCTATCAAAATTTATTTAATCTTTAGTTTTTAATTGTCACTTGTTAACAACTGATTTGTCAAACAATGTCGAAGTCAAAACATCTACACATATACGTCATTCAATTTGCTATTGTGTGTTCTTTGGTGCTCATTTTTTTTCTTAAATTATCATAAGTTTGATTTTTATATAATAGTGAAATGAAATAATTTAAACGCATAAAATAATGCACTGGATAGTATTTTATAGCATTATAAATCTTCATACAAATTAAGCGATATGGGTGCCTTTAAGCTGCTGAAGTTGTATTTATTATTTGTTATTCCTTTTTCTTTATGCCAAGAAAGAAAAAGTGATGGAATAACATTTCATTACAATAATACGTGAGTACAAATACTTATTTTAAATTCTTAATGAAACTAACTATTGTTTACGAACTATTTTAGGTACTAAAGAATTAAAATGTTGTGTGCTACTTGAAATTAGATATAAATTTAGGACATGGGCCTTGATAACAATAAGAATAGCACAAAGAACAAGGGATACCATGATTACAAAAAAAAGGGATTATAGTCCTTGTTTAGATTTTTTAAATATGCCTTCATTGATTTCACAATAAAAATTTATATGAATCATAATATTTAACATGTTTTACTTATACAGTATCTTTGTAATAAATATCTATATTGATAACATATAATTTCCTGCTTTAGGTATATTATGTAGTCCAGTAAAACTAAGATAATGTTTATCACAGGATATAAAGTACTGCATAGTGTTAACATACTATGATGATAAACAGATGACATGGAATTTTAAATATCTACTCTAAAAGTTTAGTAGTGCATTCCAATGAAAAACTTAAAGATTGTAAACCAAAAAAGGTTGTGTCTGACCAGTTGATCATTTAGTATCATAACTATCGCCATCAGCTCACTTTGTCTCCACTGAGGGGCTTTGAACCTACCCTAAGTTAGGGATAACTAGGCCATAGTCAACCACACTTACCTAGTGCGGATTGACTACACACATGAAAATCATTGGAACATGAAGGGATATGAACCCAGGACATGCAGATTGCAAGTCATGCGCTTAACCCCTGAGCCACTGACCCTTTTAGTATATACTACAATCATAGTAAATAAACAATACATATTAGCTAGAGTCAATAATCTTTTAACATGGACATTAAATTATTATCTCTGTTATTAACCTTTTAATTGGCAATACAAAATGTATACAAAGATGTGACTTTTCTTTTCTTATTATCATGTCTATTGATAGTTTAAAAATATAACAATGATATAAAGTTAATACTTTCTTGTTTATGTTTCGGTCCTTTTTAAAATTAATATTTATGATGTGATAAATGAATACATCTTAATTAAAGTCTCACTCAGGTGTAATCGGTCATTATAAGTGCCCTTTAGTGTGAATTTAATATAGTAAAATATACTTATTATTACTTAATAACTCTGCTATACAGTTTTCTCATCCATCCATCTAAACATTTGCATTTATAATATTAGTAAGTTTAGTAAGATACCATATACATTTATATATCATATTTCTAATATAATACATTTCATAACCAAAAAAAATAAAAATATACAAAACATATTATATTAAAAATAGAACACCACCGGCTGCGGAAACCCATGACTCAAACAACCAGTGGTCAGGGCTGCAGAGACAGGAACCTTCTCACGATGCGCGCAGTTTCTAGGATAACTGCCTTTTGTATCAGGCCCTTAATCCAACTGTGTAGCGAGAGCTTCTTGAGATGTTGGTCGAAGCTCTAAGATTAAGCTTAGTAAGATTATTTTTATAATTCCATGTTGAAGTCACAAAAGCTTGTGTATGATGTGGTTTTATTTTGTTACAGATACATGTATGGAGTGTCATACATTGTAAATGTTAGTAAAAATGACGAGTACATCATGGAATTTGCTGGGGTGAGTCTGAGAATTTTTTTTTAATAGGAGAAGGGGGCAAACGAGCAACGATTCGCCTAATATTATTTGATTCGACGCCCATGGACATCCGCAACATCAGAGGAACTGTAGATGCGTTGCCGGCAATTATATTTGACCTTTTTTATATTAAAAAGAATCTTCTTTTAAAGAACATAAGGTTCAAATATAACATGCATATATTAGCAATATGTATGTTAATTATTCCTTGAAATTTCTTATTTGTATGTTTGCAAGGACCAAGATGCATATGACACTCCGGCGCGTGTGACAGTGGCGAGCGACTTCGCTAATGGCACCTATCCGCTGTTCATTACTGCAAGACAACAAAAAGGTAAGAAAAAGTGTTAGATTTATTATGAAAAAAAGAACTCATAGGGTTGAGTGTGAGTTGTAATTAAGTAAAGTGACCTTTCTTTTTCTTTCTATCCTTCAAAATTATATTTCAAATTTACATAGAAAGATTTCTGGTTGTTTTTGTTCAAACTAAAATAAAATGTGTCCTTTTTACTTGAGTAAATCAGTAGTCAATGTGTAATATGTTTTTTGCTTGTATGTTTTTTATTTATGTGAGTTTGTGAACAAATGTATGATTTTGACGAGTAAAATGTTCGATTCTTATTCTTCCAGTGAGTTATAGTCAAGTTTTTTGGCATTTTTTTAGCAAATAGTTTTTGTCTTGTTAAAATTTACTCTTAATAAAGCCTATGTACTCTCTCTCAAGTTAGAAAATTAGGTTTGATATTTTAATTTCATAGACTACTAAAGCTGTTGCCGTTGAGGTTTGTATGACTATCCTATTCTTGGCAGGAGTATTCTCATGGCAGCTACCAATGCTGGTGCAGACACCACTCCAGTTGGAACAGTTCAGCAACATATCGCGTACACTCTGCCCACATAACAACATATTTTCACAGGATGAGGACACGTGTGGTGAGATATAAATAAAATACTGGCCATGTGGGATAAAAAAAATAGTCACCTCTTAAAATCCACTAATCTCTATAAATGGATGGGTTATTGTTTCGAAATGACAGTATTTTTTTTGTTCCGGTTCAAACGAATTTTCTGTAATTTAATTTTATCTTTATTAGTTCCAATCCTCACCACCGCTACTAACCATAACCGTCAGCGCCAAATTTGAAAATCGAATAGGCACAAAATACCACGGCTTATAGTCTGTCCATATATAGAGGTCAGTTTTAACGTCATACTAAAATAGATTTTCTTATGTTTTATAATACTGTAAACAAGCATAAATCGTATCTTCAAAGCTGTTGTTTTTGAAATATTTACAAGTTAACAAAAAAAAGTTTCGTTGCAATCGCGAATTCAATCTTGTGAAAGTAGTTAGTCATCTAGAAAATAGGCTATAGAAACCGTTTTACCGTTATAATGGTTTTGTTTTGTAAACCCAACAATACCGAACAATCGTATTTATAAAACATTCGCTATTAGTAAATACAGATTAGTAATACGAAAAGTAGACGAGATAAAGAACAGTTTTCAGTAGCGAAAAAAAAACGTAACTTTTCTACGTAATGCTTGAAGGTTTTTTAGATCGTTTTTATAAAGTTAAAAATCTATTCGAGCTGTTAATATTGTTGTTTTCTGTTTGTCCAATGCCGCTTAGTCAAAGGAGACAGAGTCTACTGTCCACCCCTGATACGTATGATTTGCATTATGTTTACACGCGTCTTATATAAATAAATCTATTTACTTCAATATATAGCTTTTGTCCACGTCCACGCGAAATTAAAAAAAAAACAAATAGCCTATGTATCTTTCTAGACTATGTTCTAGATCTATGCCAAATTTCAATAAGATCCATGCAGGCGTTCTGGAGATACCTTTTAACAAATATTTAAATCGCATTTAAAATATTAGTAAGAAAATAAATTAGGTTAACTTATGTAAGATTGCAGTTGTAAAATGTAGTTCAATTTCATAGTAAGTTAAATTAAAAAGGAAGCTTAGTAAAAGTAACTTTTTTTTTACGTAAAACTGAGTTTTCTTTGATATATTAAGGATTAAATGCAAAGAACAATTTCTAGTTATATTTAACACACGTAAAATGCCAAAAATGCACCGTTTTTAAACAATTAACAAAGATATAAAAAAATATATAAATTTGTTTATAGATTTAACAACTCTACCGCCACCTATCGTACATCTGACTACATCATCGCCTGATCCTATCAGCGTCACAATTGTAGTGGAAACAGTACAAGATTTTTACATAAAATTAAACAAAGAGACGTATTTAAATAGTACCCCGAGTCAACCGAAATATTACTTTTATCCTTTCGATCAGGAGCCAAACAAAATGGTAGATTTAACAACGCAAAGTATTAAGAAAAAATATATGTGTAATAAAGAATTAGATGATTTAGAGAAGAAAAAACTAGATAGATATTTTGTCCAGAGTAATATAGAACGAAGTTATGGTTGGTTTTCAAGACCTAAAAGTGTTATCGTTATGATAGAATCTGATGATGATATTTGTGCTGTTGTTTCCATACAAAATATATCGGTAAGTTCTTTTTCGTATAAAAAAAATATATGTAGCCTATGTGTTCTTCCAGACTCCTCTATGTCATCATCGAGATCTGTTAAGCCATTCTGGAGATACCTTTATGCAAATATCCATCCATCTAAACATTCGTATTTATAATATTAGTAAAATTTTATGAAGTTGTGATTTAGGAGTAGTAGTAGTAAAAAGTTAATATTTGGGAGTTTCCCATTTAACATTCAAAAATGAAATACCACGACCGTACAGATAGATGTCAAGTGGAAACAATTCCGTATACAATCTGTTGAGTGTGTTTACAAAAGGATGGGAGGAGAAAGTGGTTTGGACAGAGGATGGGGGCATATAGGAAGGGGAAACATTCTGTACGTCTCTCCCTCGATTAAAGGCAACGCATATGCAAGGATGTCTGTGGGCGCTTCGTTATTTCGGCGAAACCAGGAGGAAGCTGTCTCGTTTGACAATTGATAATATTTTTTTTAATTTGTCAATTATTTATAACTTTTTATGACTCTCTGTATGTAATTTTCAGTGTCCAGTATTTGATAATGAAAGAGATATATTATATGATGGATATTATTTGACTATGACGAGACGAGGCGGTATTACTTTGACGGTAAGGAATTCTCAGATTAAATACAGTCTAACAAAAGCTAGAATGTATTCGATATCGTTCTCGCCTATAGATGTTTCTCTTTTACTTAAGTTTCTGGCTAATTTGCACTGTAATTTTTTTGCAAAGATTGTCTCCGAATAGTCCCTTGGGGTAACACTTTGGTTTTTTAGCACTAGCTGACGCGTCCGTCCACGAGAAATTAAAAAATCTTAATTAGTAGTCTATGTGTTCTTCAGACTATGTTCTACATCTATGACAAATTTCAGCGAAGAATTCCATGAAGCTGTTCTGGTGACACCTTCTAACAAACATACAAACATAGATCCAAACACTCGCATTTATAATATTATAATTATTATTAACAACCTTTTGGAGTATCACAGCTCTGCTTCTTGTCTTAGCTATTTTATTACGTTTTTAATTATCTTTTTTCCACTTACAGCAAGACACGTTCCCATTAGGTTTCTATATAGTGTTCATAGTAAAGACGTCAGATGCGGATTGTACCGCGGTGACTGGCAATGCCACACTGCCGCGCATGGCACGTATGCTCGGGTGGCATGACTCTAACATCAATGTGACATCAGCTGACGGCAGACTGAAGCAGTTCAAGTAAGTGTACACTTAGTATTCATGTGTTTTCTTATACATTAGTTTGTAAGTTAAATTTTAGTCTTCTCCTTTCCACATTTTTCCTTATAAAGGATTGGATTATGCCAGGGAAGGGGATGCATAGAAGGGGATCTTTTTCAAATGACTAACAGGGAAAAATTCTAGTGAGTCAACGTATATTTAACTTTTTAAACGACCGTTAATTCGTTAAAAGAAAAAAGACTCTTTGTTTAATCCTTCTACAGAAGAAAATTACTTTTCGTTCCTCAATTTTATGTTTTAAAGCATTATTTCTTTTAGATTCAAGATAATCCAGACGATATCGTACCAAGAGTACGTGGTGGCAGCAGTGGCAGCTCTCTGCTTCTTCCTTTCCTTCTACGTAGCATTCCTCATAGCTCTCGTCTTCCAGAGGAACACAACTCCTGACTCCACAGTCACCAGCCAGAGTGAAGGTCAGTAATTTTCACACTAAATTAAACATAATAAAGCCATCTGTTTTAGGTGCCGTAGGCGAGATTTTTGATGCGACCTTTTTAGTTGGAGGAAATCTTCCAAAGATAGAGTTTCTTAGGGGGGACTGCAGGCGCCCCTTTATGGCCAGCGCCCTGGGCGGTCGCCCTACCTGGCCCTACTCTAACCTCGCTACTGTATCAATGCTTTCTAAGTTACTCTACATTTTTTTGTTTTATTCGTAGAAGGTGGTATATCGACTGTATTGCCTCGCGGCAGTAAAGAGCCGTTAGCAAGGCGGAGACGTACTGTGAACACATCTGAAGGTAGCGGCAGCTATCGTCATAATGCGGGAGATGACGCACAACCTAGAACAACTGGTGAGTCCCAAACACAAACCTTAATCTACCTACACTATATCTTCCTTTGATGTAATCATCTTTCTTACATCTTCTTTAAGTCCTATGTAGTCTTTTGAAATATAACAAAACTAGCTGTCGCCCGCAACTCCGTCCGCGGAAAATTAAAAAACTAACTTAATTATCAGCCTATCTGTTCTTTCAGGCTATACATCTATGCCAAATTTCAGCGAGATCCATGCAGCCGTTTTTTGAAATACTTATTAAGTTATTTATTTTATTAATAGTATTAGTACGATAAATTCTAATTATACGTTTCTATAGAATAACTGAATTATAAAGATAATTGTCGGTATGGTTATTCGTCGTGGGTTTCTGAGACAAAAATCCCCGTAACATACTTATATCTCAGTTTTGTCAAAGACAATGACAGAGGTGACGATATATTTTATACAAAGGTTTTGGTTTCAGAAACCAACTGTCAGTCAACTAATTACAGAAATAAGGTCAAGTCCTATCATTTTGACTAAATATGCTTATATTTTTGTGATAAATTCTCGCTATAGATCGTAGCTCCAGCTCAGACACGGAGTCTGACTTTGAGGACACAGCGACTGTTGAAAATGGCGATTATCTGCAAAGTGGTAGATTGTGTGTGGCCAATCTTTCTAGGTAAGCTTTTATTATTTACTAAAGTAAATATAATTGTCTATATCTTTCTCTTTTTTTATTATTTATTGTTTTAAAATTATAAAATATGATAAATTTAATTTGGACCTAGAATGCAACCTTGTGGAACACCTTGAGTTATTATTAAAATACATGTTTTAAATTTAAATATATCGTATTTATTATGTTTTATATAATTCTATATATTATCAGAAACTATTTAGACATGATTTTTTATCAGGAAGTTTATTTTAAAATCCTTATATACGTGATCAAGTATATCAAATGCCATACATAAAACAACTTAAGTAATAAATTTACATTAACACTCACTGTCGCACGCGACTCAATCCGCGCGGAATTAAAATAACTACTAGTCTATGTGTTCTTCCAGACTATGTTCTACATCTATTTCAAATCTTAGCGAGATCCATACAACTGTTCTGGAGATACCTTCAAACAGCATCCATTTATCTAAACATTCGCATTTATAATATTAGTAAGGATAAACTTTATTATTCGTTTCGTTTTAAAACGAATCTTTTAAATTTTTATTGATTTTAATAACTAGAACAAATTTGATTTGATTGATTAAAAATGTGTTATATTTAACAGATGTCGTCCGCGCGTGTTGTCTGCGCGATCCAAAATGTATTTATGGAATGTGCTGACTGTGGCTATCTTCTACACGCTACCTGTCGTGCAGCTTGTCGTCACCTACCAGCGTGTAAGTAACAGTTTTATATCATAATGTCACCAATTTAACTCCCTGACTATCATAATGATAGTCATTATCACGTTACTATGATAGACTATCATGTTTCTATCTAATTCTAGTTTTGGGGTTTATGGATTTTATTCTTTGATACAGTTACTAAACCAGTCGGGAAACCAGGATCTGTGCTATTTCAACTTTTTGTGCGCGCATCCACTGCTGGTGTTGTCTGACTTCAACCACGTGTACTCCAACCTGGGCTACGTGCTGCTCGGCGCGCTCTTCCTGCTGCAGGTGTGGCGACGTCATCAGCGGCATCGCGCTGACACAGCACGAGAGGTATGACACACCCCTTACACGATAACACACGCCCACCGCACTATGCCTATACGCCTACTTCACGCCCAATTGAACCATATACCACGCCCCAATGCACCACTCGCTACGCCAGAACTACATGCCACGCCCCACTCACTACACGACACGAAACGCCACGCCCCATTGTGTAACAAGACACGCCCCATTTCATACCATGACACATAACAATAACACAGCAGCGACACCTACCAGACACAAGAACTACTAACCAGTGTCAAAGAACGAGAAATGTTTGTAATAAAGAGATCTTCCAATTAAATATGTACTTGATGCAGAAGGAGATGGGCATCCCGCAACATTTCGGGCTGCTGTACGCGATGGGCGTGGCGCTGGTCAGCGAGGGTCTGCTCTCCGCCGCGTACCACGTCTGTCCCAACAGCATGAACTTCCAGTTCGGTACGCCTCTCATCCCCACCCTCCACTGACACTTGTGTGTGTTATAAATCACCAGTGTGTTGTAAATCTGGAGAAATGTGAAATAGTGTGAAGATACTTGAAAAAATTTAAAATAACTGCAAAAAGGATAAAAAATGGTAAAACCGAATTCGGAAGAAATTTGTCGTGACATCTATCGTAATGTCTTAATAAGTTCAATGTTATATTTTTTCGTACTCAGGTGGCATTTAGTTAAGTAACTGTTTCCATTGTACACAGACACGTCATTCATGTACGTGACGGCGGTGCTGTGCATGGTGAAGATCTACCAGGCCAGACATCCAGACATCAATGCGCGCGCGCACGCTACATTCGGCGTGCTCGCGCTCATCATATTCATAGGTAATATAATTACGAATTTTTAATAATTATCAATATTTTTAGTATATCCAGAAATAAAGGAAATGAGACATAACGTTCAGAGAAAGAGAGAAAAATAGAGAGGCTTCTGGAAAAAGTGGGAGAAAGAAAGAAAGAGAATGTGTCCCTGTGAAGTCTTGTAAAGCTTAGCTTTGAATAACCACGTGGTGTTTGTGCAGGACTGGTGGGAGTGCTAAACGCCAACTTCTACTTCTGGGTGGGGTTCACGGTGCTGCACCTCTTCACCTGCCTCGTGATGACCTTCCAGATATACTACCTCGGCAGGTTCAGGTTTGGTAAGTTGTTCTTCGTTATTTATTCATTTATAAAGGCTTTGGAATATACTAGCGCCATCTACATTTAATTAACAAAAACTATACATGGCTTCACTAGAACTGGACTATAAAATTACAAGGTTTGTTTGTAATTTGTAAAATAGCCAGTCTGTGTGTCTGTTCGCCAGGCCGCGTTTGTTATAATACTTGAAACGGCAAACTATTTTGACGGGATTCATGCGACGCCATATTGGCTAAATTATATTTGACCACTAGTCAAGTGAATAAAACTTGATTTATACTTAATTTTTTAATATATTTAAGTACGTTTTTATGTATTAGATTGTGGCGTGTTGTGCCGTGCTGTGCGCGAGGTGGCGCTGCGGCCGCGCGCTGCGGTGACGCCGGCGCGCTGCGGCCGCTGCGTGCTGCTGCTGCTCGCTAACCTCGCTAACTGGGCACTTGCTGCATACGGGTACACCCACACATATACTCAACTTAATAATAAATTTGGATGAAATTTGGTATAGATGTAGGACACTGATAGGAAAAATAGAAGACTTAACGATCATATTTTTGGGTCTATTATCCTATGTGTATTAATTATCAGCTCGTCAATAACCTCAATCAATTAAAACACCTTAAAAAGCGCGATAATTCTGTGTTAAAATTGTTCTTCAAATATATTCTTTAGACATTTTTAAAATTTATTTAATTGTAAATATAATTTTTGTCTGTGTAGTGTGGCGCAGCACAGTCGTGACTTCGCATCTCATCTGCTGTTGGTGTTGATGAGCAACTTGTTCCTCTACACACTGTTCTACATCGCTATGAAGTTATTGCACCGCGAGTCCATACGCTGGTACAGGTAGGCATTACCGATATTACCCGAGTTAGTTCCGCTAATTGAAAATAGATGGCGTTGTTTCTAATGTTAAAGTATCTAAAACTTACTTATTCAATTTTGATACTAGATGGCGCTTTTATTTATTGTCAAATATTTTAAACTTTTTTTCAGTTGGGTGTTCATCGCGCTGACGTACTCGGTGTGGTTCGGATCTAGTTATTTTTATCTGGACCTCAGCACCAATTGGGCCGTGAGTACATAATTTTAATTCTTTTATTTAGTATCATACATAATAGAAGTCTAATTTAAAATTAAAGCTGCAGGAATTAGCTGACTATCAAACTAAGAGTGTGTTAATTAACAATCGTAATGTTTCCGTTCAGTTGACTCCGGCGCAGTCTCGGCAGAGCAACAGAGTGTGCTCTCTCCTAGAGCTGTACGACTCGCATGACGTGTGGCACTTCCTGTCCGCCACCGCCATGTTCTTCTCCTTCAACATGTACCTCACCATTGACGACAACCTCGCTGACGTTCCCCGCACAGATATCATGGTCTTCTAGACAAGAACTCGGTCTACTCGGCAGTAATATGGTCTACTGTGGTCTATTACACTAAAAACATGTCCTGTTAGATTGTGATAAGCTCTACTGGACAGACGTGGACTACTGGACGGCTATATGGTCTACTAGACAAGCATATGGTCTACTAGATTATGACACGGTCTACTAGATTTCGGCATGGTCTACTAGAATAGGACATGGTCTACTGGACGGCCACTTGGTCTACATGATTACAAAATGTGAACACGGTTTTCTAGACCATGCCGTGTATTTAGAAACCATTTTCATTCTGTTAAATTGATTTAAAAAACTGTCGTATGATCTCAAAATAATAAGAGTTATAATTGTTACAAATTGGCATCTTGCGCTTGTCCATCGGCTTTCGCCCGCAGTTAACGCGTTATCAACGCGTAGATGTCACGTATTGGTCGCTACCAAACCTTGTTTTTTAACTTTAAAAATGTCAAAGTATATTTGTAAAGAAGTGATAGTTATTGAAGCCTTATTAAATAATGAAGTTATTGATTATTAAAAAAAATCTACGATAGTAGAATTCACTCTAGTAATATTATTAAATGTGTGTAAATAAATAAATTAGTCATATAAATAAGATAAAAATTGTTATTCCAAATCATTGGGGCAAAGTTTTTTTTCATCCATTTTCATGCGATTCATGTTTATTTTATTGACAAAAGGAATTGATATTATTTGTGTTTTGACAATTTGATACGGTACTCAAAAACTTTAGTAATATAGTTTTTAATATATTTGTATGTATATAAAGTGATATTAAACTGTCATATTAAGATTATTGTAAGTCATTCATGTTCTACATTTAGAAATTATAACTTGTGAGATATTGAGTCTGTACAGTGGGTTTCTGAGGCAAAAATCTCCATTTAAAATATTATATCTGCTTTCTCTAACGATATGTTTTATAAAGAGATTTTTTTCTCAGAAACCCACGGTAAGAGGCATTACTGGTTTTAACTAAAGTACACATTTTGGATAGAGAATAAAATTATATATTTGACTGTATTACAAAATTGAGAATAAAATATTGTCTCTGGTTTTTATAAAGAAAATTAAGGATAGAAATATTTCTATATAAATGTTACGTAAAAAGAGTTCTCAGTTTGTAAGTTTTGTGTAATTGAATTTGTACCAAAGAGTCGGTTATTCTTGAAAATGTTTGTAATTCTTAAATATTCAGTGTTTTGTCTATGATCCATTAGTTATTTGTGTGGAACTAAGTCTATGTTACTTAAGACAAATATATTTTGAGGTTACATTAGACAAAGGAGCTTTATACTTCATCACATAAACATAAGTCTAATAAAATATAAAAATAGCAATAGTTAATAGAGATTGCACACCAGTATGTTATATTTTTATGAAAAAGCCATGCATTAATCTTCAATAGAAATGTTGGCTTAAATGCCATGGAGTAAATCTCGCGCTCTGTGACGCGGGAACCAAAACATGACAACCCTTTTATATTTTAATTAAACGTTAAAAAAGTTAAAGTTTTTATGTAGATAATGGCTGAAGATAATAAGATTGTGTAAATAAAATTGCTTTTTATAAATAAAAAAAAAACAATTATTTCATCCGCATCCTAACTGAATTAGAGAATCCTTGGACGTTTTATCGCGTAATCTTCCTATAACTACAAAAATTACCAGACTAATAATCTTACTAATATAAATCTGAATTGATATATAAACACGGCTAAACACTCACGTGTATACGTCCGGTGGCGGCACCGACTAGTTTCGAGCCCATCGGGGGCCCTTCATCAGGATGAGTGGTACTGGTATTATTTCGCGGACAAGGCCCTCAGCTCACTCGCGAGTGAGTGTTTAGCCGTGTTTATATATCAGTTTAGTATAATGTCTCGCGAAAGTTTGAATAATTTAATAAATCCGAATGTTTAGATGGATGGATGGAGTTTGACGGTATCTCCAGAACAACTGAACGGATCCCGATCCTGGAATAACACATAGACTACTAATTATGTTTTTTTTTAATTCCCCGCGGACGGAGTCATGGGCGACAGTGTAGTATATTGTTAAAATTAAAAGGATTGTGGGTAAATAAATGTACATATAGTTTTGATAATACATTTAATTGTGTATAATCGGTATAATTGGCCGCTACACTACTGCAAGCCGGTCGCCTCGCCTTAAAGCTCTCTTTTACAATAAAACGGGACAAAGTCAATAAAACAAAAGCAAACAATAACAAACTATTTAAACAGATCTTTGAGTTTTATCTACATATTGTCATCTCCT